CCATGCCGGAGGATAAGGATTGGGAGGCGTATAAGGTGCCGCCGACCCGCACCCCGGTCTCCGAGAGGATCACCTCGGTGCCCAACCCGATTACCTTCTTCCAAACCGTCTTCAACTATGTCGTCGACACGCCTGTCACCTTCGTTCGAGGTACCCGCGGCCGTGGCGGGAGGCGGGCCCCGGCCCGGGGGGCCCCGGGCCGGCGGGGTGGCACGGGGACACCAGGACAGGCGGGGACACGGGGCAGAGATGCAAGGACACAGCCACTGAGACAGGCACAGGGAGATGGGACACGGAAGGGCACAAGGACAGGGACCCATACGGACACAGGGACGTGGGACACTGACAAGAATACAGCACGGGTATGGGGACAGACACAGGGACATGGGCGAGAACACAGCATGGACACTGGGACAGGGACATGGGACACTGACGAACACAGCATGGGCACTGGGACAGGGACATGGGACACAGGGAAGAACACAGCATGGACAGAGGGACAGACACAGGCAGGGGACAGCGAGCTGGTGAGTGCTTGACCACAGGGCTGTTGTTGCAGAGTGGATCGAGCGCCAGCAAGCCAAGAACAAGTCCTACTATTACCACCAGAAGTTCCGCCGCGTACCTGACCTGAGTGAGTGTCTGGAGGACGACTACCTCTGCTTCTTTGAGGCCGAAGCACAGTGGAGGAGGGACAGGTATGGCTGTCACTGGGCTGCCCACAGCAGAGCACACTGCTCTGGTTAGCCAGCCGTTGGGAACTGCGGCGGTTGGCTTGAACTCACAGCATTTTCATGCAGTTTGGGGTGTTGAGGCAGCACCTCCTGCTCACCCCATTACAGAACAGCCGTTTCATAGTGCTGCTGTCCCCTGCAGCATGCTAGAGTTGAGTGGGGTGGCATTAGGACATCTTCCTGCACTCCCTGGTTCCTGCAGTGCACTGCAGGACAGACCAGGATCCTCTGAAAAGCCACAACTGACTTTCCACCTTTGTTCAGCCTGTCATCTCTTGGCTGTGGTTGAATTTATCATCTTTCCTGCAGGTTGGTTGATACGGAAATCGTGGAGATAGTTCGGGAGAGGCTGGGTGCATGCAAGCAGAGGGAAGGACCCAACGAGTTCCAGAACTGTGCCAAGGAGAGGGAGCTGCTGGCACAGGTCACCAAGGCCTACCAGGACAGATGTGAGTACAGCAGGGGCCTGCACGCCTCTGCTGCGGTGGGGACAGCGTGCAGGGAAAGGGGTTCTAAGCCAGGTCCCTGACTTCACCTGGAACAGAGGCTGAGTTCTGTTCAGCTGCCGAGGGGCACTCTTCAGCCATTTACTTTCTTTTCAGATGGTGATCTTGGTGTCCATGGCAATGCAAGAACGTGCCTGATGAAGCAGAAGCACAGGATGATGGAGGAGAGGAAGGCACAAGCAGAGGCATCATCTCAGTAGATCTGAACGGTTCGCACCTCCCTGCGTGGTGCTTGTATCCAGTGCCGCATGTTCCCTCTCTGAACTCCAATGAAGCTGTTACCCCCTACAATAAATGTGCAGCCCAGCCCTCTGCCATACAACAGAATCTAGACTCGTTCTTTGAACAGATCTGCAAACACGTTCACAATTCTTCCTTTTTCAGCTCTGCATTCACCTTTGAATTCCAGTTGATCGCTACCATCCTCTGAACCACTATCAGCCCCTAACTCCAGGCGCTCCCGGCTGCCTTCACTGGGATTTCCCCTCGGGACCTCCCCCACCTCCACAAACCAACAGAAACACCCTGTGCTGCTCTGCCCAGCCCCACCAGAGAGCTCCCCGAGTCGGGGTAAAGGCTACACGCTGTGGGACAGCACATCCGCTTCAGAGCTGGTTCTAGACCCCATTTAGGATTAACACATGATTAACAAGGATCAGTGTAACACATCGTGCTATTTCATATGACAGATGTTCAGGCTCTGGCCCAGACCTGAATCTCCTCAAATCCCCAGCAGGGATCTAATCCACCTGCCCAATGCATACACCATCCCATCAACCCAAACATGTAATTTCGTGTTCACTGATCACTTTATTGTCTTGTACAAAACCCACTTAAGTCGTTGCCACAGCAGCTGCCTGGGTTCTCTGCACCGAGACTCTGGTGTGGGTCTTTGCCAGGTGATCAGTGAACTCCTGCAAGAAAAAAAACCACAAAACCCAGTGTTTTATTTTCTTAAGCCACTATCATAGGTTTCTCAGCACTGCACCCCTTTCCAAGAAAACGTGTACGTGGGCGCTGGAGTAGCTCAGATACAACTTATTTTTATTTAATATTTCAAAGCTTTCCCATTTCCTTTGTCCATGAAATGCCATTTTCAAGTATTAATCAAAACTGCACACTGAAAAATCAGGCTCCACCTGGCAGTCAGCTCTGACTGCAAGCCTCCTCTCCCATTATTAAACTGCAAATTCTTTGGGTGCAGCATCTGAACTTCACTGGGCAGAAAGGGCAAGATTTGAGCTGCAAATTGCAGACCTGCTCTTACCTGGTAAGGAGACTTGGTGAACACCGTCTCTTTCCAGAGGTCAGGGGTCAGGTAACTGTAGGTCTTGGAGATGGCATCGAAGGTGGCTTTAGCTACGGACACAAGTCAAATATTGCATGTCACTGCTACAGAAACCCGCTCGCTGGTACCCACCCCGCAGCTCCAGAAATGTGGAATTCAGGAGGGAACAGGGAGACCACAGCATGTCTCTCTGATATACACACAAAATTCGAGTTTCTTTCTCTCTCCAGTTACGACAATTACACTACTTCACACAAGTGCAATCGCGCAGATTGGGAGATTTTTTAGTATCAACGCATGCATAAAAAGACAATTTCCTGTAATTAACTTTTACAGATCTTCGGGATCATCTACAGCAGGACTAACCTGCATTGTAAAAAGGATCAAGTCTCCTGCTTGACTGCTAGAAGCTTTTGATTCAACACAGATTTAAAAACTACTACAGAAAGGGGTGTGTTGTGTCCCCATCAATGACAAAAAACGGCAACACACACAGCTGAGCTACAACCCAAAAACCTAAAGCTTACCAAAGTTGCCAAGTGTGGCAGTGCAGCCCCTGGCTGAGGTGTAGCAGTCATCGATACCAGCCATCATCAGCAGCTTCTTGGGGACAGGGGCGGACACAATCCCTGTACCGCGGGGGGCCGGGATCAGACGCACCAGGACAGATCCACACCGGCCCGTGACCTGCACAAACACGAGGGGTTACAACTCCCAAAACATGCTACAGCACCAGTGCCCAGCCCCAGCCCAGCGAGTCACGCTCACCTTGCAAGGCACGGTGTGGGGCTTGCCGATCTTGTTCCCCCAATAGCCTCGTCGTACAGGTACGATGGATAATTTAGCCAAAATAATTGCCCCACGAATAGCGGTGGCAACTTCTTTAGAGCATTTAACACCAAGACCAACATGGCCATTGTAGTCCCCAATAGCGACAAAAGCCTAGGATTGAAAGAAAAGTCAGGGTCTCTCACCACAGATAACCCAAGGGGTGTGCTCAGCAGCGAACACTCAGTTCACTCTAAGTACAAATCAAAACACCACCTGCTAAAACCCATACAGCAGAGCTCATAGCTTAAGCAGCCCATTTCTTCCCTTAGAGCTCATCCTTCACTCAAAACCAGTTAAGGCTGAAGAACTGGGATTCAGTCCCTTGCTGAACAGCATTCCCTCTTTATACCCAAGACTTCTCTCTCCACCACAGCTCCTAAAAAGCCCACATTGCTGTACAAGTGAGACTTAATTTTCTGTTAGGGCTTTTTCAAACAGCATTTGGACATATTACCTGGGTTTTAAAATTAATACAAGCAACTTGCAAGCTACACAAGATGATCCCCATTCAAATATATTTACTGAACACTATGGAAGAAAGTAAAGGTATCTGAACAGATTTACTCATATAACACAAAAAAAAGCAGCAGACAACATACAGTTTTCAACATAACACAGGAAAAGGGTTACCTTAAACCTGGTACGCTGACCAGCACGAGTCTGTTTCTGGACAGGCATGATCTTCAAGACCTCATCTTTCAGAGAAGACCCCAGGAAGAAATCAATGATCTCTGACTCCTGCAGGATTCGGTCATTTCATCACACAAGGCCGCACTTTTTAAAAAACTGAACACAGCTAGAAGGCTCCCACAATTCTAGTTCAACAAGCTGACACGGAATGCACCACACAACCCCACCATGCCTCACTACACACGACCACATCAGTTCTCAGCTTCTGTTGGTTTACGCCTTCAACTGGAGCACACTTAACCCACCCATCCCCAACAGCAAATGCAGGGACTATTGCTCACTCTGCATTTCAAATTAAGATTCTGCTGCACGTTACTTCCATGTTCACAACAGCTCACCTTGATCGGAAGCGAGAAGAGATAGATCTCCTCAAGAGACTTGATCTTCATATCCTTGACCAGGCGACCAAGCTTGGTGACAGGAATCCACTGGCAAAGAAAACCGTGGGAAAGGGTCAGGGGCAGCCCCAGGTGCCAGCACCCCACGGGCAC